CATAGTTGACATCCTTGTAATGCATAAGGGATGATAACCATAAGGGATATAAGGAATAATAACCAAAAAAAAAGGTATTTTATTATTTTTATAGTATAAGTAATTGAGTGGGTTATAATAAAATAATCACCTTCTATATTGGATCAAGACCTTAAAAAAATAGAAAGTTTTATAATAATAAAGATTTATTGATTTACTATTGAAAAAGTAATTTGGTTAAAAGATAAAATAGCTTTTTTAATAAGTTTATTTTTCACGAGAACTTACTACCCTATTACTAAAATAAAAATGGGCGTAAGTAATTATATAAAATTATTTTATGGAATAAATTATGATAATAAATATATATGTTTGTATAGATATAGTTTACTTTATAACTTAGCGTGACCAACAGATATTTATAAAAAAAACGTATATATAATAAATTTTTTTGTTGGTTTTAAGTCTAAAAATTATTTTTTGTGCATTGTGGCTTTAAGGATTATCTATTTTATAATTCACATATACACAGAAATGAGAATTTTAGTTCACATGATTTTAATAAAATAGTAAGGTTAATTAAAAAACAGTAGCACAGTATTGACGTGGCGCAGTTGGGACAAGTATAAATGTTACGTGACAGTGATTAAATCACTATCATAAGAAACGCTTTAATGGAATCTGTAGATAATGTTTAATTTTAAGAAATTGGTAGATTATTCCAAAAGCAACATCAACTATTAATTTCCTTAATTATATCCTAATTAATAGTTCTTTGGCTTATAAGTATAATATATGAATAAATAATAATTATAGTTATTAAATTTAGTATGAAATTGATATTCAAAAATTTAATACTGTAATTTTTACTTAAAGTAAAAAAAAAAAAACAAAACAAAAGAACTAATTAATTTGTTAATTATAAATAACCCAACCAAAAATAATAATTTTTATAATTTTATTATTTTTAGTGATTTCCTCCATTTACGAGGAATTAGAAAAACTTTTTCAATTTTTAACGGTAATGTCTTCGACTAGATACAATTTGTGATATTTTTACGTATCGTTGAAAGAAATCGATTCGGTGAGAGCTAAGAAAAAGTGGTAATAGATAACAAAAAAAAATCAATCTAACCTTATAGTAAAATTAATGCTTTCTAAGCTTCGCATTGAAGCTAATATACACACACAATGATGTTTGAAAAATCTTAAAACTTACAATATACTGAATTTTTTGTGTTACAGTAAAATCACAAAGTTTGATGGTGAACAGTCTATCTTTTTTTATGTCTATTTGTTTTATCGGGCAAGGAAATAGGTGAATGATTATTTTTTTGGCACAACTTATTATTTTTGCCACTGTCCGCTACATAAGGTGACCGAAGAATAAATACAATCAAAATCGAATTGTTTATCGATATTGATTTCTCCCAAAAATGCTGGTTATTATTGTTTTGAAATTATCATTAGAAGGGGTTTTTTCGACTGTGCTAGAGCGCACACGTTTCTTATTTTTTTCTCTTTATTAAATGATAAAATAGAACTGTTAACGTCAAACGACCGGGTATTTTTGTTTAAGCATCCAAGTAATCGGATAGGTGTCTTCAAAGATTGAATAAAGTTTTTTTTTATAATTTTATTTATGCTATTTTCTGTGTTTTATTAATTATTATATATCATTGTAATTTATTATAAATCAACTTAATTTTATTTATAAATAAAGAGCACATATTTCCTCTTTTCTTTAGCCCTAATTGTTTTACTATTTGATTTTGTTAAAATACATTTATTTTATTTTTGTCGTCAGCCTTTTTTGGTAGACATAGTTTTTGATGAAATCGTATTTTTGTTCAAATTTAACTTAATTTCTTTTTCAAAAATTAAATAAAATTTCCTTATCTTGACTAAATATTTATTTTGCCCTTAATAAATGTTTTTTCGTCTATATGTTGAGCATTGATATTTTTTTACTTTTTATTTAAATAATTTTTATTACTGGATATTTTAATGCCACTCGGTGTAATCGCAGCTCACACCCCTAATTGTGGCATGCACTGAAATAATTTACTTTGTCATACGATACAATTGATAGACCTATAAATGTTTATATATGCATTTTATATGCCTTAATGAATTAATTTAAATTATAAAATTTTGTATAAAGATTCGTCATGACTAAAATCATTGATGATTTGAAATTATTACATGCATACTCATAGAAATACAATTGAGTAATATTCAGTGCTCTAATGATAAATGAAAAATATGTTTAAAACGTAGTCTAGGAAGGCAATAACTTTTAAAAAAAATAAGTATTTATTACTGTCGAGGTACGCTTGGAAGAAGTGTAACGTCAAAACCATTTTATAGATAAAATATACATGGAAATTTAGTTTATTAAGGAAAATTAAATATTCTTAAAAGTCAAAGCTACACAATTTCACAAATCAGTTCTTCTGTAATAGTAATACTTTATGTTGTCACTGATGATGGTAGTACTGTGACAATTAGCCGATGATTTTTATCATATATGTTATATGAAAGTTATATGAATTCAATCATTGAAAATGTAAAAATTCATGCTTATTTGGAATTTTTTGGCAATGTCAAAACTATCTTATATAGTCGTTTTTATTTTCTGTAATATACAGCATGCTATTGCTAGTTAGTAAAACGTACGGCATACTCGGGGTCACCAATGTAAACTACACAAGGAGAGTTATTTTTTTTTCTAAATTTTTTTCAAAAGTTCTTTATATAATTATAAAATTTTGAAATTATATTTTAATTTTAATATATATAATTTTAATAATTTTTTGATATAAAATTATTAATTTTATAAATCATTGTATCAAATAATTGGTCAACCCCTAAAAAATAGATACTCATAATCGTTTAAAAATATTTTAAAAAATTCCATATCAAAATCAAATTTTTATTGAAAAAAAAAAGTCATCAGAAAAATTATAGACGCACTCATGTATACGGGTCATTCCATGTGAAAACCCCTAATGTATTATGAAATTTATATCATAGACTTCTTAAAGGTCATGGACAACAAAAATAATATTTTAGCTTCGATGCGAAGCTGTGAAGATATTAATTTTACTATAATGTGTGTGTTTTTTTTTGTGACTGTTATAACATGTTCTCAGCTCTCACCTAACCCATTTCTTTCAACAATACTTCAAAAGATCACAAATCGTATCTAGTCGAAGACATTACCTTCAAAAATTGAAAAAATTCCCTCATTCCCCGTAAATGGGGGAAACCTCCAAAAACATTACAAATTTAAAAATCGCTAATTTTCGAAATTTTTTTAATTTTTTTTACTTAAAAGAGCCATAACTTTTTTAAAAATAACCGAATCAACATAATTTTTTTTTTTATAGATGCATGATGTCTTTACCTAAATATACCATTTGGTATATTTTTTTTTATATCTGACCCTTTACTTGCCCACAGGGAGGGGATTTAAAATGACAATTTATTCACAAAAAATTAATTTTTTCAACTTAAATTTTGAAAATGTTTCGGTAAGTCTGTCACTTTTATATATATCTTAAATTAAAGTTAATGTAATTTACTTTATTGTGCGAAAAAAAATGTCGGACATTATTTTGTCTTCACGGTGAAAATGTCTACCGAATGCTATTATTGTGTGAAAATTCTCGATTTTATTTTTTACATTTTTAACTTTATAATGCTATAACATATTGAAAAGTGTATGGATCAACATAATTTTTTTATGAGAAATAATATTTTTTAATAATCTCTTTTTCATTCGACATACTTCATCTTAATTAGGATATTAATTATGAACTAGTAGATCATGTAGCTTTTGGAATAATCCACCAATTTTTTAAAATTAAACAGTATCTAAAGATTTGCATCGAAGCGTTTATTTTTGATAGTGGTTTTAATCACTGTCAGATATCATTATACTTTATCCAACTATGCTATGTCACCACTGTAACACGACCCACCTGTGTTGGGTTTTTTTTTATTATTGCTTTTTACTAGATAGCGCATTTTTTATAATTAAAAATATGAAAAAACAGCCAAATAAACTATCACTGTGGAACCAGCACTGTTTTACTCATATTAAATAATACTTCAATTTTATTCTTAAGTTAATAAATTTTGAATTTTTTTGAACATCAAAATTTTGATTTAAATTTTTTAAAATTTGCAGTATTTTAATAGCAAAATTTGAAGGTCAGAAAATTTTTTTTTTCTTTTCAGAAACTTTTTGTAATGTTCTTTTAAACCATATCATATTTGAACGATTTATAATTCTTTTTGTATCGTTTTACGGTCTTGAACACGCATTGTTTGATGAAAATATCTATTGATGTAATTAAGTTTATGAAGAAAAGTAATGGAGCTTTTCCGAACTTAGCCATTGCTCCTAGGATTTTTTATGAGTCCTAATAACTTAATCTACTACAAAACATTACTAACAGTTTCTGAAAAGAAAAAATAAATTTTAATTAAAAAATTTTTTTACTTTCAAATTTTGCTATTAAAATACTGCAAAATTTAAAAAATTTAAATCAAAATTTCGATGTCCAAAAAAATTCAAAATTTATAAACTTAAGAATAAAATTGAAGTATTATTTAATATGAGTAAAACAGTGCTGGTTCCAGTGATAGTTTATTTGGATGTGTAGTTATAAGCTCTAGAACATAGGCTGTTTTTTCATATTTTTAATTATAAAAAATGCGCTATCTAGTAAAAAGCAATAAAAAAAATATTATTTTTGTTGTCAATGACCTTTAAGAAGTCTATGATATAAATTTCATAAATTTCTGAACTATACCAGCAAACACATTAGGTGATTTCACATGGAATGACTTATAAAGTATACAGAGTGTTACAAACAACAAAAACAATAGAAACCCATTTCTATTTTTACTGAACACCCTATATAGTTATAACGAATATATATGGTCACAGAAAACTAATTACAACATAACAATATAGAATAAACTGTATTTAATATATTACTTTGAATTACCTGGTTTTTAGCTGTAACATCGCATCCCAGTTCTATTAATCTTTCTAAAAATGACGTTTTACTTTCTTTTACTGCATACATTAAAGGCGTCATACCAGTAACCTTAAAAAAAAATCACATTTAATTAAAAATTATGAGCTTGTGATAAGATGACATATTTTTAATGTAACATTAAAATTTAAATTAATAAATATGATAACACAAAGAAAATTATATTTGTATAATTTTTATTGATAAATATTCACTTCTGAGTTCTAATTTAGAAAAAAATAAATTATGATTTGTGTGATCCTATAATTTATCTATTAAGAGTGGTTGAGCATTCACTGACAACTTCAATAACTTTTGATCCAGTTAATTTTTTTGTGCTATTTTATTATAGATTTAATAATAATAATAATAAGTTAATTAATATAATTTTTATAATTAAATTAAAAAAAAAATTAATTTAAAAAATTATGAAAAATTATTAAAAAAAATTTAAAAATTGCCATTTTTGAGAATAGATTTAAAAAAATAATTTGATGAAAAAAATTCTCATTAATGTGTTTGGTAGTTAATTTTCAGTAAAATTTTAAAATTCGTAACTATTTGAATTTTTTTTTATTTATTCAACGGTATCAAACGCTTGCTATGTTATATTAAAAAGGACAGAAGTGAACACCAAATTTTCACACTAATTATGGTATGTATATGGATTTTTTCATGAAAATATTTAACATTCCAATTACTGGATTTAGTTCAAATAAAAACACCCACAATACCTATTATTTAATAAGTAGTTTTATCTTTTTAGAGATATAACTACTTATCTTACTTTTCTTCTGTTCTTATTTCAATACGTATTTCAATGTTTAATATCGTAAAATAAAATAACACATGGAGAATTAAAATTTTATCAAAATTTAAAATGATACATACATATAAGAATAACAAATCAATAGCCGTTCTTATGCGATTACAGTTTATTAGCTCAGAATTAGCTACCAAAGTAAAAAGAACTATTAAAATAATAACTATTTTTTTTTCTATATTATTTGTAATATAAATTTATAAATATATTTTTGGAGAGATTTTATATTGAGTTCTCCACAGTTACAAATGCAAGAAAGAACTAAAAGAGTAATGACCCTCCAAAATTAATATTATTTTCTACAAAAATTGATCTCTCACAATAATAAAAATAATAATGGAATGGTATATCACTCTCTTTTTTTAAAATTATTATATGTTCCTTATTATAAAATAAGAAAAAATGGAAGAATAGAATTAAAAAAACCCAGCACAGGTGGGTCGTGTTACAGTGGTGACATAGCATAGTTGGATTAAGTATAATGATATCTGACAATGATTAAAATCACTATAAAAAAATACCTTTCGAAGCAAATCTTTAGATAGTGTTTAATTTTAAAAAATTGGTAGATTATTCCAAAAGCTACATGACCTGATATTTCCTTATTTATATCTTGATAAAGATAAAGTATGTCGAATAAAAAAGGGTTATACATATTATTTCTCATATAAAAATTGTGTTGATCTATACCCTTTACAATAAGTTTTAGTATTATAAAAAAAAAGGTAAAAAATAAAATCAAAATTATCACACAAAAATAGTATTTAGTAGCCATTTTCACCATGAAGACAAAATAAAGTCCGAATTTTTTTTTTTTCCATAAGAAAGTATATTACATTAGCTTTAATTTAAGATATATATATAAGTGTCAGATTTTCTGGAAGACTTTGAAAAGTTAAGTTGAAAAAGATAATTTTTTGTGAAAAAGTTGTCATTTTAAATCTCCCCCTGTGGGCAGGTAAAGGGTCAGATAAAAAAAAAATATACCAAATGATAGGTAAAGACATCATACATCTATAAAAAGAGGAATTATGTTGATTCGGTTATTTTTAAAAAAGTTATGGCACTTTTAAGTAAAAAAATTTTTAAAAATATCGAAAATTAGCGATTTTTAAATTTGTAATTTTTTTAGAGGTTTCCCCCATTTATGGAGAACGAGGGAATTTTTTCAATTTTTGAAGGTAATGTCTTAGGCTAGATACGATTTGTGATCTTTTGACGTATCATTGAAAGAAATCGGTTCGGTGAGAGCTGAGGAAAAGTGGTAACAGACAAAAAAAAAAACACATCTTAGTAAAACCAATACCTTCTCAGCTTCCCATCGAAGCTAAAAATACGTAGAATCAGTGACTTTATTAAGTCATTATTATTTTTTTAAATCTTTTATTTAATGTTTGTTAAAAGTTGTTAGAAATCGCGAACATTTTAAAAAATAAATATTGATATACAATGGTTATATATTTTAAAGTCTTCCTGTACTTAGGGCACAACTTAGATCGTAAAAAAAGATTGTCATAAGAATGATTATTATCTCTAATATATATTATAATTATTATATTGTTGTTTCAGTTTTTCTAATAAGGTTATGGTAATTTTGAATGAAAAAAAAAAACCATGAATGAGTTAAATCTTTTGTGGATTGTCGTATTGTTTAAAATGCACTATATGCTTATGGAAACGTCATCTCATAACCGAAAACGTGGATACTCCGTAAAAATTTCAAATAAAATGAATCATAAATGGCAATACTAGATTTTTGAGATATTTTCTTCAGTGAAAAAAATGTCAAGAAAAAAACATCTTCAATTAGATGTATTTTACGTTATTTTGATGTATATGAACAATGCTGAGCGGTTATCTTGAACAGACACCAAAAAAAAATGTAAAGTAAGACTCCAATATTAAATGAGTGGTTGAAGAATATCAAAATGTTGACCTTTTTACAGGTTTTTTATGTGTTTTAAAATCATGAAGCTAAAATCAAATACCTTATATAGATAATAAAAATATTTCATACTTTTATGTTTTATTTCACTCTTTATGAATACTATTTTATAACATTTGAATTTTAGCTTAGATGCGAAGCTGAGAAGGTATTAATTTTACTATAATATGTGTTTTTTTTTTGTGACTGTTATAACATGTTCTCAGCTCTCACCTAACCCATTTCTTTCAACAATACTTCAAAAGATCACAAATAGTATCTAGTCGAAGACATTACTCTCAAAAATTGAAAAAAATTTCCACATTCCTTGCAAATGGGGGAAATAACCAAAAAAATTACAATTTTAGAAGTCGCTAATTTTCGACATTTTTTCAATTTTTTCTACTTAAAACTGCCATATGTTTTGGCATGCAAATTTAATAAAAAACTGTTATTTGGTGTAAATGTACAACGTAACTAAAATACATATTTTACTTATTTTAAAATAGTTAAATTTTATTGAATTTGAAGAATTATTTTTATAGTTTTTATTCCAAATTTATTTTTATTATTTTGTTTATTGTAAAATATTATTTTAAAAGAAAAAAATTATAATTAAAATTACTATTTTTTTCACTCGTTATTATAATTAAATATTATGATATTGAATTGCAAAATTACTATACTAAATTTTATATATTTTTTGTTATTTCGTGTAAAAAAGCCTGATTAAACAGTTATTTATTTCTTTATTCGTTTAAATTTACTCAATACTTCCAGTTAGTATTTAGTAAATTTAAATTAATAGTATACTTTTGCTTTTCATGTTATTTCAGTTCATATTCATTAAAGAAAGTTCAAATCATAATATTAATATATAAATTATAGTTTTTAATAGTTTTTTAAACTAAAAACAAAAAAAAGTGTGTATTTTGTACTCCAAGTTATTCTATACCTATATAATTATGTAGTGTAACAATATTTCTCTGGTTTGGTTACATAGGCAAGACATAACACGGCGTACCATTTTAATTGCAATAAAATAAAACTTCATAAACACACAAATGATAATAAGACCAAACGCACAAAACACTACGTAATTACTTAATGTTATTACTATTAATTTTTGATTAATTATTCAAATTTACTGAATAACCACCGTAATTACTATTAATAATAATTACGGTTATAATGGTGGCTACTATTACAAGAATGATAGGAAACACAAAAGACCAACTTTCCATTATCTTTATTTATATTCATGAAAATGAATGAAGCTATATTAAATAATATACATTTATAAATAACTAAAACAAACAGGTTCATTGTTTGAAAACATAAATTAGATCAGTTGTGTTTTATTGTACAACATCCAACCACAGATTATCTAGTCTGTATTAAGACTGACATGGTCCACGGGTAGTATTTTGAGATTAGCTTCCCTATAGAAAATATCACCACCAAAAAGAAACCAGGAAAACTATATGATACTAGTTATGAAAAACGAGTAAAATTTGAGATAGGTTTTAGGGCGTTTGCCCAAAGACCTATCATTTGTCCCTCCTTTAAACTAGACCTACAGACCATAAGAAAAAACACATTTTTTTGAGGTCTCCGGTTATCCTGTATATTATTACGGTAGAATATATACAAAAATAAATAAAGCTAAATTATTACTCTAAGACTAATTGATTAAATTTAAAATTTAATATTGATAACTTCCAAATACTTATTTGGAAAGTAATAATGTATCTATCCAAGGCGTCATTTGATACATTTGCGTACCTATAACTTTGTGTCATCAATTTTTCCTTTAAATTACAGTCTATCTGGTCTTGACTTCAAAAACATTCCAATAAGAGATAATATCATCTCCCACCCTGGGCCATCTTACCTAGTGAGTTCTATGCATATATAAAAAAAAAATAATAAACATTGAAATGTCGCCTTTATTCAAAAAATGTTATTAACCATTTATTTTGTCAGATTCTTTTTATAAAAATAATATTAATATCCTTATTAATAAATAAATAAATTAATAATATTATTTTAACAGAAATCTAAAAGTTAATGATAAATCAACCGCTTTATATGAAAAAATGTTAAAATAAAAAAATTATTATAATTTTGGTTTATGAAATATATCATGCAATACGAAAATAATATAACATTTTTTCATTTAAAGTATTTATCACTTAAACATAGTAAACTAACAAGCCAGGTTATTATAGAATAGAATGAATATCTAGCCACATAGACACGTTTTTTCGATTAGGATTTATGTATGTATGTTTAAAGTCCAAGTTAAAGTTTTCGTGAAGGATCGCGTGTTGCTGAACTATGACCTCTTCCGGTTGTACTAGTTTTTGTGTCCAAGCAACGCGCTATTGCTGTATTTTTGGGTTGGACACCAACCGCACACTTTATTTTATTATTCTTAGTCATAAAATAATACTGTGGGCATAATTTAAGTTTGCAACATGCATGTAGGTTAAGAATTCACGCAAGCACATTATTTTTATACTTACTGGGTCGACAACACCAACCAATGGAGATGACGTCACATCTTCACCCCCAGCTGCTACTAATTTTTCTACTATCTTGATTGCTTGATCCAAAGGTGGCCATTCTGACCTTTGACATAATTGAAGAATTTTTTGAGCAGCTTCTCTCAACGTTGCTCCTGAACTTGGGATTGTAGGAGGTGCTACTGATTCTACAATGTATTATATTTTCTATATTAATGTTCGATGAAATAAGAAAAATATTTAACTTAAAAGTATAAATAAATTACTAACAATATAAAAATAAATGTGTCTGATATATTCTTATCTATCATATCAATTATTTAATCAATTAAATACCATTATCAATAAGTTTTGAAAATTATTTTATATAAAACTATAAATTATAAATTATGAAATAATAGAACCGATAGATATAAAAATAAAAAATCCAGCATATTGGGATCGTGGTACAGTGGGGACGTAGCATAGTTGGGTCCAGTATAGATGATACCTGACATAGATTAAAATCACCATTACATGAAACGCTTCATATGAATCTGTAGATAATTTTTAATTTTTAAAAAATGGATATATTATTCAAAAAGACTTTCCTGAACACTTTCAAAAGGTAAGTTGAAAAATGTGTCATTTTGAATACCCCTGATGGCCGGTAGAGAGTCAGATTTATAAAAAAAAATATACAAAATAATAGTTAATAACTCATGTATCTATAAAAAAAAAAAGGTATATTGATTTGGTCTTTTTTAAAAAAGTTATAGCAGTTTTAAGTAAAAAAAATTTAGAAAAATTCGAAAATTAGCGATTTTTAAATTTGCAACTTTTTAGGAGATTTCCCCTCATTTACAGGGAACGATGGAAATTTATTCAATTTTTGAGGATAACGTCTATGACTAGATTCAATTTGTGATCTTTTGACGTATTGTTAAAAAAAATTGGCTCGATAAGAACTGAGAATAAGTGATAGCAGACACAAAAAAAACATATCATAATAAAAGCTTCGCATCGAAGCTAAAAATACTTTTCATAATTATCATAAAGTAATATGTTGAAAAATGACTATATCTACAATATGAAGGTAATTAATGAAATTCAAACATAATTTGTATCAGTTTTATCTGAAATGATATAATGTTTAGAACACAATGTTTTTTAATTCACGGAAATGAATAGACAAATAAATATAAAATGATTTTATTTGTTATGCAACCCAAATTATAAAACATTAGAAAATATAAGCAAACTTTTAATTTTAATAACTGAAAATTATGCTTATTTTAATTTCTATGAGGGATTTGCTTGGCCTAGTGAGTATGAACATATGTTTCAGCTTACGGAGTCCCGGGTTTCATCTTCAAGATACCAATGAGATTAATCTTGTGATTTTCTCATTGGTTTTGTCTGTTGCAAGTTGGCCATAATACCTATCTCGTCCATCATTGGACAAGCCAAAAATTATCTTTAAATACTTATCATGTTAAAAAAGGCCATCACTCCTTGTAGCATGTTAAGTTCAGGAAATAGAAGGATGTAAAACTGATCATTTTTTTTTTCATATTTATATTTTTATTAATTTGAATAAAAATTACTCTTAGTGGATTAATTCAGGAAGACAGGAGCAATGACGTCTACCCAAATATAATACACTTTTATATACATTGAAATTGATCAGGAGTCTATAGATTGTTTAGTTGGGTTAGAGCTTATGAAAATGGTCTATCTTCTCTAAAAACTTGTCAAAATATAATCCTCATGATCGCTTAAAAAAAGGATACAATTTACCTGACTAAAAAATTTTTAGAAGACTTTAATGTCTAAAATATATATAAAAAGAAAACTTCATCTTTTACCATCCCTAAATTATGGAGTTAAAAAGTTTGTCGTAATGCTTATAATATCGCCGCAACTAAAATTTAAAAATAATTTACTACTTATTTTAGTATAATTTTTAAGCTGTTTGAAAACATGTTATACTCTGGTTATCTTACGAATATAATTATAAAAACTTATTGAGTATTAATGTATATTTTTTAATTACTTTCAAAAGCTAAATTTTGAATATTTTTTTAAATTTTACTTTGTAAATAACTCTGGGACTCCACACGAGTATTTCTCAGTGAGGCCTAGTAATCATATTATTTCATTGGAAATAATTCAAACTATTGATATTTTATAATTTGTATAAATTTTAACGCATTATTTCCAGAAAAAAAAATAAATTTGCAAGTACGCTCACTGGTAGCAATACAAATCAGTATAATTTTTATAGCATGAGTTTTTTAATTTTAATAAAATAAGTAGATAATACTTATTCAATAATATTATTTAATATAAATATAAATTTAATTTGTAACATAAGAAATTGAATTATTAACAATTATTACAATGGGAGTGTTTAAAAGTTAAAATTATTTAAGATCGACTTATTTATATATAATAATTATAAACGTTTTATTAAATTAAAAAATTAGTACTTTATAGTATATAAAAAAATAAATGGTATCTTTATTTTTATATTAATTGTCATCATCATATCTTCTTATAAAAATATTACCAGCATGTTGAGACTTATCGAATTTTATTGTATTATTTATCTCTATTATTCAAAATTTGGTTTAATTTGTGTAAAAAATACGCATAAAATTATACTTAAACTTAAAAATGATCTGTTTTAAAGATCAAGAAAGTCTACAGAGTGATCCATTTATCACGAACTACTCAATTACTTGCAAAATAAATAAAATATTGAAAAAAATTATTTGGTTGCATATATTTTTTTATTTGTAAGCTATTAATTACATTTTAGCATCACCCCTTATAGCTTATAGGTGTATTAACTTAATTTTTTCAATGGAAATATACATATTTAATTAGCTTATAAAATAGAAGATAATTTAATTAAATAAATAACTAGTCGATAACAACTTTTGGACCAGTACTTCAGAAGTTATTCTCATTTTTATACCTAGGAGTGTAGAAAGACGTCCGGTAAATGGCTAATAATAAAAATAGCAGCATCTACTTCTAATCTCCATTCTTTACTTTGAATTATTAATAACTTCTGAAATACTGGTTCAAAATCGACTATTAATTTTTTAATTAAATTATTTTCTATTTTATCAGTTAGTTAAATATGAAATTTTATATGAACAGTTTATTAGATTAAACAAAGATGGACATTTGTTAATAATATGATACAATAATATACATTTAAATAATATATATGAAAATAATCTATTAAAGTAACCAAGGGTTTAATATAGTAATAATTAGGTAAAATTTCGATTTAAAAGATATTTTAAACATTTGGCACTAAGCCATCTAAATCCCCACAAAATTTATTTTAAACATTAAGAACTATCTGCATTAATAATAAAGTTTATTGTAGAAGTTAATTTCTATTTCAAAAATTACTTTTGTAATAATGACTACTAACAGCTTATAATTACAAGCTGAGTTAAATTTTTGTATTAAATAGTAATGTTTAGTTTAAATAATGGATAAAATAGCAAATTCAGGATTTAAAATTATTGTATAATATCATTTATTATTAAAATGAAATTATTATTCTTTGTAAATAGTTTAAATGTTCATTTTTACGAATTCTTTAATTATATTTTGTAGAAATAATTTTTTTACTTATGAATTGTATAGTAAATTTTAATTTTATTAACAGATAGTTTTTTTATATTAAAAAAAACAAATCGTTTTTCGATATTTATAACTTTTTTAGTTAGTATTTTAATAAAATAAAATAATTTAAAATAAACACGTGCAAGTTTGTCACCTTTATTTTCGTCATTTTTCATTTGACCTCCGCTACTAGTTTTATCTTCTCCTGAAGCTGCAGTTGCTGCGGTAGCTACTGACGCTGCTAAAGCAGCGGCTGAAGAAGTTGAAGATACAGGTGGCTGTCTACCTGTACCCGAACCTCTCTTTCCAGATCCACCTATCATGTTTCAGTGTATTTTAATATCAAATTTACATTTCACTATCTGAATTTAATTTGTTAATCATATTTTGATCTTTTAATACAGATACTATTACATCTTTTTATATTTATTTATAATCACAATATATATTTTTGAAATAAATCTATACAATAACATAGTATTATCAGAATGGTAAAAATATGGAGTTAAATTTTACGTAAAGAGCGGAGTTGCTTCGTGACTGGCACTCTGAACAGTTATAAACAATAATGGTGCTCGTGTACGATACACTAACTACGAATAGGGCGCTACACTTTCGTAGATTTGCATGTCTCTATGATAAGCCAATGAAAGTGAACTTGCCTGCTGAAAAGGTAAAAATATACAGTAAAATAGGCAATATGCTTAAAAGTTTGCATGCTACTATAGATTAAATTTTTTACTCTTTCTTTACATACCCTGCCATAACATAAAGTTCAAGCTCATTATTAATCATCTATTTTTTGTTTTTGATACGTCTTCTCGTGTAATACATTAAAATGTACTTCATTATAATTGAATGCTAGTCCACCAATTTTTAAAAATTAATTTATAGCTATAGAAAAATTTTTTAATTTTAAAATATTGTTGAGTGGTAATGATAACCACATTCACAAAAACACATAATGTTTATTTTGCAATCTGAACAAATCAATCAATTTTATTTATTATGCAAGGAAGAAATAAAGTTGAAAGATGAAATAATAACAGTATGCAAAACCGAATACTGATAGATTTTGGTAAGAAAAAAACAGTTATTTGCAGCAAATATATCACTACATGTCTTGTTAGCTTCTTTATGTATTTGTTATTTATTTTATGTAAGTATTTTTTATATTACTTGAACATGCCTACGGCGAAGATTGATGGAGTGCAAGCATCTGAACAACATTTTTTTCTACGCAAAAAAATACTGTAAGAGATATTGATAATCGATTTATTTTAAAACTTTCATTTAGGGAAAAAAAATTTTGAGTGACACTTATAACATAATATGAATACGGTTTTTCAGTTTGAAAAAAAAATTAACTCAAAATAAAATTTTAAGAAAGAAATATAAAAATCTCGGTCATATGTCACGCATTAACAAACCATTTAATTTACCTAAATACATTCCGACTCTTAATATCTGACACACCACGCAGTGGTTCAAGTATTAGGCCTGATGGAAAAATTGCACGCTACGTTCAATGTATCAGCGAAAAAAACAAATTCAAAATCTCTAAGCGATGTTTTATGAATGGTGGAATGATATAAGACAATTTGGTCTTAACTGTTTAACGTTTTTTTCTGCATCAGTTCGTCATGAAAGCAGATGTATTGACAAATACTTATAGATCAAGAACATAGAAACATAGCAATATTAAAAAATGTTAAATCAAAACTCATTACATTACATTGAATCAGCGTAAGTAATTAGAAAGAACTTCTAGGTTGACAATCTGATAACAGAGACTCAAACAATAAACAAATTCATATATTTAAATTCGTATATAACTTATTTATATATAACATATCACATTTCTTGATAAAATATACAAAATACAGTGTCATGTACAATTACAAAATAATATCTTAATATAAACTCTGCGTGGATAAAAAAATGTTCAAAGCGAAAAAAGTACAATTGAACATTCTTCTTCTTTTTCTTTCTCGCCTTAATCCCAACTACTTGAGGTCGGCCACCTTTATCCTAAACTTCCACTTGACACGATCTCCTGTAGTGAATCAAAAAAAAAAAAATAATATTATTTGTTGTAATTTAAAAAGGGGGTATTACTTGTATTAATTTAAAGAGTACTTTGAAAGTTACTTAAAAGAAATAAATTAAAAAGAATATTACGGGATTTGGATGCTTATTTGATCCACTACTTTATTGTATTAATAATATTATTACTCAGGGTATGAGTACGAGGGTCTGTAAGAAAGATAGAAGATGATAGAAAAATAAAGTGATCTTTATTTTATTAATATGGGATTCATTATAATTAATTGTCAATTTTTATATATCAATAATTCCACGAGTTTTGACGGTTATCGGTGATAGGTGGGATTGAGTCACCTCGTGTGTCTACCCAGAGTGGTATGGTAGGTATACATTTGAACCTCCAACCTAACTCCTGAAATAGACACGTATCAACGATATAACTCTGCCAAGTAACTCTGTACAAACATTATCGATTTATTAAATTTACTTGGTATCTTTATTATTATTGATAATCACTTGATTTTCCTGTATGCCGACTTAATCTATGTACTCATAAAATTTTAATTCTAAACCTTATATATTTTTGGTGAATTCATTAGATTCTTACTATGATATTTTCTGTGACACTCTTAAGTAAATAGATGTTGTATTTTTTGTACAAATATAATTGCGAAGACGGCGGATCACTTCTTGCATATATTTCGTTATGTGGAATGATCGAGCGTAGTGAGTGCCTCTGTGAATATCTGACTGCATCTATCTTTTAATCAGTGCTCGAAATGAAAAATTTTTTGAACCAGAACGAATTTTTTTTTTAGTACATACTATATACATACTACATACTAATGTATTTATTTGACAAGCCGGAACGATAAAAAAATTTTTGTCGTGAACCGGAACTGCGTTCCGGTGTGTTCTGGTCCATTTCGAGCCCTGCTTTTAATGCTCTTTATTTTTGGCTTTTTATATTAAATTTGATCATGGTTCAAAGGCAAGAAGTGATCACTGACGCCATCGTTATTTTTTTATTAATCGTAATTTATTACACTTTTATCAATAATGATATACATATTATAAAATACTATCATATCTTATATAATAATTTAGACATAGTTAATTACGCTACATCTTATGTGCTACCATTACATATTGTTTATTACTTCCTGTTTGTTTTATAAATTAAATATATGCTTTTTTCTACGAAATTTCATTAGTATATTTAAACATTTAAAAGGTACATATATATTAGGGTGTCCCTTATTTTGAAAATTTTGGAAATTCCTCGGGCTCACCCCCCAAAATTATGTGTATACATATAAAAAGTGGCTACAAAAAATTCCAGGCCGATCAGATAAGTTTAACCCGTGCCGACTTGGCGTTGAAAATCGGCCAAAAGGGGTACTTTTTTAGTTTTTAGCAATTAACTCGTAAATTAGCACTCTCACAAAAAAAATATTAAAACTAAATTGTAGATCTAATTGTTTTGTATAAATTAAGTCCTTACAGTTTTTCTTTTAAGTCCATTAGTTTTCTAGAAAAATGTCAAAATATATAATATTTCGTAAAATTGCCGAAAATAAGCATATTTACGAGTATTTTATCATATATGACGAACCATATGTGATACGACCTAATGTTTCATACAAAAATTGTTTAAAATTAAATTTTACGAAATAAAAGTATTAAGTACAAATTTCATTGAACCGATCGTTTTATTGCTATAGCTGAATTAACTCGATCATATTACGATTTTTACTAAATATATGAATTTTATTGCTTAATTTAAATATATTTCCTTTATATTGTAAAGTGTTGTATTTGTTTGACTTAAACTCATAATGATACTTACTTCTCAATATTATTGTATAAATTAAAAAAAAGTTACTATATAAAATACAAAATGTTAAATTCAAAATAATTCACAAATTATAACAAAAATATACATTAAAAACTATGTTTTAATGTTTTTTTGTTGCAATTAGGATATAATATTCTATGCTCTTGAACACACAGTGTAAAAGTAACTCAGCTTTTTCATCGTTTACAGTTAAACTTTCATGAAAATCTTCCATTACCTTAACCGCTTTATCTGCAGAGTCATTTACTACTTTAAGTGAACATACAATTTCTTTTTCGTGTAAATAAAAATTATCAGTATTCCAATTACTTGGATCCAAATTTAAAAAATTAGTATTGATATCGAATCGTTTGAAAAATTTCATACTGCTTTTTGACAAAAAAGAAGCTACAGTTTTTTCTAAAAAAAAATATCAATCACTCAATAGTCATCAAAAAATAAAGATATCAAAAATTATTATACATGAAAATGATTTGTCAATATGAACCGATGAAAGAATAAAACGTTTACTAGGGTTTATTATTGACTCATTATTAAGGGATACAACCATTAATTTTTTTATTTCGGTTGAAATGGAATCGTCCATTTCCCAGAAAATATTACACTCGCGAATAGTCAATACTGCTTTTGCTCTTATAGTAAGATTAACAATTCTTAGGTTATAAAAAAAAACTTTTAGAACTTGTCCAATGGATGGAAGTTTTGAACCTAAAATTTGAGTAGTCAAAGACCCTATTAAAAATATTTTATTGTCATTTCTTAATACTACGGACATTTTTACGTACACTAAAAGAAAAACACAATAGGAAGCAGTTCAACTTAATACGCGATGTGAGCGACTAAAGTGGTATAAGTATAAGTTCACTATATCTATTGCTGCGATTTGTAATAAATTTACGATTTCCAGAGTTATTTATAATTTAAAAATAATAACAATACATTAATTCAGTCATACCATAGTATTATCGCCGTACTTGTACGATAAGTGTTGTAATGAACCAGATGATAACTAACAGAATCTAGCATTAAAATTCATATATTTAGTAAAAATCGTAATATGATCGAGTTAATTCAGCTATAGCAATAAAACGATCGGTTCAATGAAATTTGTACTTAATACTTTTATTTCGTAAAATTTAATTTTAAACAATTTTTGTATGAAACATTAGGTCGTATCACATATGGTTCGTCATATATGATAAAATATTCGTAAATATGCTAATTTCGGCAATTTTACGAAATATTATGTATTTTGACATTTTTCTAGAAAACTAATGGATTTAAAAGAAAAACTGTAAGGACTTAATTTATACAAAACAATTAGATCTACAATTTAGTTTTAATATTTTTTTTTGTGAGAGTGCTAATTTACGAGTTAATTGCTAAAAACTAAAAAAGTACCCCTTTTGGCCGATTTTCAACGCCAAGTCGGCACGGGTTAAACTTATCTGATCGGCCTGGAATTTTTTGTAGCCACTTTTTATATGTATACACATAATTTTGGGGGGTGAGCCCGAGGAATTTCCAAAATTTTCAAAATAAGGGACACCCTAATATATATCTTATTTTTATTGACATACATTTCATTTTGTGTGATTGATTGATTGAAGTCTTAAATAATACATTATGATATTAATGATGTACTATGTATATCATTACACTCCCACGTCCTTTACACTCACATCAGCTGTCCTCATATGGCATTTAATAACATCTCTCCATCTCTTTTTTGGTCTTCCTCTACCTCTTCTTCCTTCAACATTAATTTCTATAACTCTTCTTACGGCTTCCGATTTTTTTCTTCTCATAACATGACCAAACCATCTAAGTCTATTTTCTCTCATCTTATCCATGATTGACGCTACATCTATACTCCCTCTTATCTGAAAATTAGAATTAAATGTGTTAAATGTAATGTGATTGTATTTTCATCACTATATCAAATTTATTTTATATGTAATTATTACCCTATAAAGTGTTAAAATAAAATAAAATGCTTTTAGATTTTATCGTCTTTATAATATTGTATTATATAGTCTAAACAATGTATATTTTAAATTATTGGTGTTTATTAAAAATTGCAATAATAATCACTGAATACAGTTACGTGAATCCCTATATATATTTATAGCGGTTACAATACATATGCTTGGTGAGTGTTTTAAGAACATTTATAACTATATTTTTTTCATTTATATTGTTGTTACACGTTGTATTTTCATTTACTCCATTTGTTAAACATTATTAATTAATATTGTGAAAGATACTGAGGTCACATATCCACTCGTTTGTAGCCCGGACTACTGACATTGAATTAACAATAAATATTTTTGTACGATGGGTGTTTTACATATAATTTTGGTATCTTAATTTTCGTAATATTCATTTAATTACATAGTCAAAAAATAAGCTTAATCTTAACAATTATTTGCCTATCGCCAATTGTTATTATTGTCATTACATATGTAAATTTTTTTGAGATATCTATTTACTGTTTGTGTGTAATAATAACGTCGAGAATTTTATTTTTATTATATAATGTTAACAGTATATCAATTACATATTTTATCTAACTTTTAACATATTTGGGAAAAATAAAAATAAATATCGACAAAAAAATATCTTCAATATTGATAAATTTAATGTGGAAAAATGTTATACTACCATTAATTAATTTTAACGATAATCTAAATTTAATAAAGCAAATATTACGAAAATGGCTGATAGTAAGTGTATTAAAAATTTGTTTGAAAGGGTAATAGCCGAATATAATAGGATTGAAAGTATACACCACCGTCTGTTAAAATATAAAAATAAAACGTAATGTTTGAAGAACATAGATTACCCGGTTCACAACTGAGGGTCTCTCCAGACACTTAAATCTACATAAACTATACATATAGACCTATTCATTAATAAATAAACAAATCAATATTTATACGCAATAATGAAAGATGCTTCTTAAGCTATACTCCTTATTATCTTCACTTAACATTATTATGTTTTCATCTGTATTTTTTTGTTCCTTAATAATTTAATCGTACTACTATATTCAAAAAATTTTAAATTGGCAATACAGTTCGACAATACAATACAATACATTTATTTAAAACTTGTTTAAATTTACTATCTATGTAGTATGAAGTACAAAATTCTAATTACATTAAGTCAATAATAATTCACTACAGACCCAAATATTTTATATTGATTAAAAATATTTAAAAACGTATTTCAAAGAAGAAGGTCAAAATAAAAGCCCTAAATCTAATAGATAATTTAATATAAATTTTATATTAGTGTAATTTAATTCAATCACAAAATCTTGCTTAGCCTTTAATCTTTGAAATAGAATTTCTACGATTTTATTTTGGTTAACGTACGGAGTTGTACATGTTACTCAACATAATATAACTTTTTATAAAATTAATGAAAAAATGTTTATTTAATTTTAGTAAATTAATAGAATGCAGTTTTTTTTCTTAAGGAGATGATTTAAAAATAATATTTTGGGTATGATTTATATCTTTATTAAATATAAGTGTTGTAAATGAGAGTTATTTGTTTTATCAATAAGTTTGTTTCAGAGGCCTATAATACATGCAAATACCCAAAACAGTCCTTCGATACGCATGCTATGTTTAGCAGCTGTAAGTATCAACTAAACATAAAATCATAGAAAGAATAATTTAAAATAATTAAGTATATTTTATTATATGTAATAAAAAGTGAAATATTAATTTAAAATAAAAAAAACATTAAAAAATTTAACTCAAAAAGCCATAAAATTACTAAAAAACATATACGTATTTCTCGAACAACACTAACATCGTCAGTGCTAAACAAATATATGGTTTTACATACAAAACAAAGTATTTTAGGATATCAATCTATTATAGTATTAAAATTAAAAGCTGAGAATATATTGATTTTACCATAATGTGCGTTTTTTATGCCCGTTCACCAGAATTCTCATCTCTTTCTGAACCGGTTTTGATGTCCGATTTTTCAATTTTTTGTTTAAATAGTTGATCTCAGCGACACTAATTTCGAAAAATTATATGCAAAAATGAGAAAAATATATTAGTACTTCGTAAGAGTTTCAAAATTTTGGCAAAAACGCGCAATACTTTAAGGTTTTTTTATTTAATGTTTTATGATGTTTGTCTAGAGATATTCTAATGGCATTCTGAAAAACTTATGTACAGATAAAGTTTGAAAGAGACAACTCATATTTGTAAGCATAATTGTTATAACTCCATCTTTAAAAATATTCCGTAACGTCTGTTCTATTTTATTCTACTTGAAATCAAATTTTAATTTGATTTTTTGAACTATATAAATTAAAATCTTTAATTTTATATAGTTTGAAATAAATTGCTTCTTTTTTGAGCTCATAATCCAATGTAGTACCATTTTCAATGAAAAATTAAGTTACTGTTTTATGAATTTCAATTGTGTGGATTGCGCAGCTCTAGTCCATGGGGTATAGACAATATCGTTCGTAGCATAAACTGCTGTTAATCATTTTTGAACCTCTCAGAAAATTTTTTAAGAAATAAGGAGTTTCTAAATCATAAATTACAATTTTCAAGTAATTTCTACAAACTACTACATCATTAAAATTACTACAATTCATGCTTTATTATTAATTTTTAAGTAAAAATTTATTCAACTATTCAATTATTGAAACTTATCCAGTTCTTTTTTTTGAAAATTTACTTAACATATTAAAAAAATTCAACTTGAATCTTTAGTAAGTTTAATAAATTTTATGCTAGTCACTAAAAATATTCAGTTACGTTTCTATTATATAACATTTTTTTCATATCATTTGCCTATTAATAAGTAGAGTTTGTCGATGTGGAACATGGAATCATTCGATTTATCAGTATAGATAAAAAAATTATTGTTTTTATAACTCATAAACTCACTAAAACTGATAGACCAGCAAAGACAATTTCTAACTTTTACATCATACCAACAAAGACAAAAAATGATAAAAATAAATCTAAATGATATACTATATGTATAATGTCAATTTATTCTTAGTTAAATGGAGTTGAACTATTTAATTTGAATACAATACAATTATATTAAGTAAAATAAATTATTTATTGAAGACAGAAATAACATTTGTATAATATTAAAATTTGTAATAAAACTAACATCGGTGTAACATTGATAAAAAATATTCACTGAATATTTAGAATCATTTAAATTAAATTTTAGATTTAAGATTTGTTTAACATTTAATAGATTCTGCCCGCCCTACCAAACTATTATAGTTGGGTAGGGCAACAGGTTTGTATATGATACTAGACTTTAATAGTATGATTAATAATATTTCATTGTAAACATAGGTTATCAGTAATCAATATAACATGTTTTTTCGTCGATGTAATAGTAACAATTTAGTAATACTACAATAAATTATTTTAAAGTAACTAATATATAGTTTAAAAGTCTAGAGTTAAATTTAAACTATTTTTTTCTTATTTATACATCTATTCATAAGAAACCTTACAATCAAACATATTAATTTGTTGTGTTCTGAAATATTCATAATAGAATATGTTGCCTTACATACGCAATATACAGAAACGTACACTACCAGCTGCAAATAAAATAAGATTGTAAGTATCTTGATTTTTTAATATTACTTTAAAATTTGATTTAATTTATAAAACCACTTATGTTTCATATTATTAATATAAATAAAAAATAAGTATTCTACAAGCAAAATAATTAATCAAATTAATGAACTGATTCTATTTACTGACCAAGATGACAATTATTATATTATAAATTAAAAATTGCGTCCATTATTAAAATGCAAGATTGGAGAATTAAAAATCATTGTCTTTAAAAAAAAAAATATTATAAAATAAAACCAATAAAATAATTTAACTGGATAAATAAATGACCTCATTTGACACATTGGCATAGTTACTATAGTATTCATTTTAAACAGATATATTTTTGAGTAATTGAAAGTTTTTATATTTATTTTTAATAGCGTAAAATCATATTCATATACTTGTTGTACAGTATTTGAAATTACCCTATTTAGTTAAATAAATGACTAAGTTGAACTTTAGTACTAGTTAATCACTTCTACTAAGCCAAAGAATAAAAGAGAATTGGAGTATCAACTTCAAGTTTTGGGATAATTAAGTGTTAGATCTGCACTAAAATAAAAAATATTTTTTACGCTACTATACAATACTATAAAAAGTTGTACAAATTGAGTCCCTTGAAAGTGACTAAATGCATATAATTACGTGCCTTATTAACCATCATTAGATATCATCTATTCTTATCCCAATATACTATGTTGTATCCCCACTGAGCTGGGATTTTTTATTATTTGAAATTTTTTTATGTGTTTTTATATTTCTAAAATTATATGTTGTTTTAGCTTCGATGCGAAGCTGAGAAGGAATTAATTTTACCATGATGTGTTTTTTTTTTCATGTCTGTTGCCACTTTTTCTCAGCTCTCACTGGACCGATTTCTTTCAACAATACATCAAAAGATCACAAATCGTATCTAGTTGAAGACATTACCCTTAAAAAAATTTTTGTCCATGCAAATTACCAGCTCACACTGAATTGTCTTTGTTGGTTTATGCGATAACAAAAGAATAGAAGTATACTTAATAAATAAAACCTAACAAAGGGGGGGAGGTCTTGGCACAGTGGTAATGTAGCATAGTTGGGACAAGTATAGATGATATCTGACAGTGGTTATTATCACTATCATAAGAAACGCTTCGATGCAAATCTGTAGATAGTATTTAATTAAAAAAAATTGTGGATTATTCCAAAAGCTACATGATTTCCTATTTCCTTATTTATATCTTGATTACAACTTTGATGATTTATAAGTGTAATATATGAATAAATATAAATATATAATAAAAATTGATCACTTGTGGCTAAATAATTAAGTAAAATGAAAACTATATTAAAAAAACCCAGCACAGTGGAGTCGCGGCATAGTGGGGACGTTGCATAGTTGGGTCCAGTATAGATTTAATCTGACAGTGATTAAAATCACTATCATAAGAAACGCTTCGATGCAAATCTGTAGATAGTGTTTAATTCTAAGAAATTGGTGGATAATTACAAAAGCTACATGATCTGCTAGTTCCTTATTAATACCCTGATTAAGATAAAGTATGTCGAATGAAAAAGGGATTATTAAAAAATATTATTTCTTATAAAAAAATTGTGTTGATTCGTACACTTTTCAATGAGTTATAGCATTATAAAGTTAAAAATGTAACCAACCCAACCCAACATCAACTCCTATTTCCTTAATTATATCCAGATTAGTAATTATTTTAATTATATATTATATAATTTTTATAATTAATTATTTTCAAATTATTATTGATTTTTAATATGTTAAAAGTAATCATTTTGAACCTACTTCTTTTTGTTCTTTAAAGTGAAAGTTTTAATAAAAAAAAAATGAATTTATTACCATAACTTTTAACTCAACTTGCAAGTTTGAAATAATATCATTAAATAGAAAAAAATGAAATTGGTAGAGTATTTTAAAAAACAACAATAACACTTATTCCCTTAATTTTACCCCGATTTATAACTATAATATATGAATACATAATAATTACAGTAATTAAATTGAGTATGAAAGTGGTATTCAATAATATAATATTGTAATTTTTACGGAGATATTATATAAAAAAAAAGGAGTTGTATATTCATATACTTTTAATGCGTATACAAATTTAAAGGAATTGATGCAATACTATTTAATAAAAAAATTTTGTTATTTATGAATAAATACACTAAACAAAAGGAACTTTCATCAGAAAAAAAATATACTTTTTNAAGGAACTTTCATCAGAAAAAAAATATACTTTTCTAAATAAACTTTTCGTGATGTTTTCAAATGTGCAATTAAACTTTTTCTATTACTTCTAAGTTTTAATATTATTACTTATTATTAAAAAATAAGTATTTACATATAAAAAAAAATAATTAAGAACAAAAAAAATTGTATTTAATTAATACTGCTTTTGATTTTTAATACGTTAAAGGTAATCATTTTGCACCTATTTTTTATTGTCTTTTAAAGTGAAAGTTTAAATGAAAAATACCTTCTCAGCTTCGCATCGAAGCTAAAAAGTGAATTTGTTACCATAACTTATGTTCAACTTGCAAGTTTGAAATTGACATTATTAAATTGAAAAAAATGAAACTTTTAAGATTAATATGCAATCTGGAAATTTTATAATTACTAATTACAGTACATTTGTCAGAAAAATTCGATTTTTTTACATTTTTATCGTAATAGATAACTGAAATAGAAAGAATAGTAATCATATCCTAATAACTTTTGGTGTTTAAAAAAATTCTGCAATTGAAATATTCAGAACTTAATTAATTTTAATAATTTACTTTAATTAAATGAACCAATCAAACCAAAGTAGTTAAAAAGATTTACTCAATTGATCGTATTATCAAAGTTATAATTATAATTGTAAAACTCCATCGTTAACTTCAGGTGAAACTAAAAATCATTTTTTTTTTAAATTTATGATTTATATAGCAACATATTACAAAAAAATTTGGCATATTATAGACTGGTAGTAGCACACACAAATAGAGTTAAAAAATTAATAAATTATAAAGTAAAATGATTTACTTTTGTAGTTAAATACTTTTATCATATCAAATCTAATTCGACAATAAATACTTTAAGAATATTAAAAATTAATGATTTTAATTGTTTGTATGGATAAATCTGATTAAGCTACTTTTTATTTGAATAAGAAATATTTTTTTGATTTTTAAGAGTAATAACTTAAACTAATCATTAACTTAAATATCATAAACTTAAATGAATCATTTGACGTATCGTTGAAAAAAGTAGGTCTAGTGAGGGTTGGCAAAATAAATCGTATCCACAAAAAGAACCACATAGTAAAATAATATTAACATGAATATAAATTTCTTCTCAGGAAGGGGAGACTACAGTGATAAGATCCTTTATATTTATTGAAATTATTGAATCTAAATAAGATAAATATCAAATGATTTGAAAATTCTATTTTAACTCAAAAAAAAAAATGCAAAATTTTAGAAGTCATAGACGGACGGATTTGAACCTCGTACCCTAGGCGTGAAAGACACAGGTGTTACCCATTCGGCAACTATTCGTTGATTTTTGTTGCATGATAAAATTGGCTATTTAAGCTAACTCAAATTTAAAAATTACTTTTTCGACTTTAAAAAAGTAAAAAATGTTAATAAGTATAATTTCATATGTCTTATGAACTTTATTCTATGTCAATGAAATTATATAATATTCATGAAAGTCAGTTTATTCCCCTAATAAGATATTTTAAAATAAAATAAAATACATAACCCAGAATTTTAATAAAAAAATAGCATATTTCTGAATACGGTAGCCTTTTGCGCATAGAAGATAGGTCGTCGGGAAAAATTTTTTTTTTTTCATTTTATAGTACATGAAATAAGCTTTAATTTGATATATGTTTAAAGGACGCAGTATTTCCGGAACATTTTCAAAAGTTCAGTTGAAAAAGTTCTATTTTTTATACAATGTTTCAAAGTTTGAACCCCCCCTATATAAAGGGAAATTGTCTAATTTTAATAAAAAATATGTCATATGGAAGATGTACTTATATTGTATTTAGAAAAAAAAAATTGTGCTGATACATACATTTTTCGAAAACTTATAGCATTTTTAAGTTGAAAATTAAAAATCGAAAATCGAAAATTTTAACACAAAAATAGTGTTTTTTTAACTACGGCAACCGTTTACATGCAGAAGAAAAAGTGACGGGACAAATTTTCTTTTTCATTTTATAGTACATAAAATAGGCTTTAATTTGATATATGTTTAGGACACAGTATTTCCGGAACATTTTCAAAAATTAAGTTGAAAAAGTTAGTTTTTGTAAAAAAGTTGCAATTTTGAATCCCCCCCCCATGAGCAAGTTAAGTGTTAAATTTTCAAAAAAATTATATCAAATGAAAGGAAAATATCTTAGGTTTTAGTTTAAAAAAAAATTATGTTGATTTATTGATTTTTGAAAAAGTTATGGAAGTTTTAAGAAAAAAAAGTGAAAAAAATGACAAAATTTGTCGTTTTATAAATTTGTGATCTTTTGACGTATTGTTAAAAGAAATCACTCCAGTGAGAGTTGAGAAAAAGTAGTGACAGACACAAAAAAAAAAAATAAATAAACACATCATGGTGAAATTAATACCTTCTCAGCTTCGCAACGAAGCTAAAATTTGTCCCGACGACCTATCTTCTATGCGCAAAAGGCTACCGTATTCAGAAATATGCTATTTTTTTATTAAAATTCTGGGTT